GTTTCAACAGCATTGGTTCACTAACTCACATTTAACAATGACAAACATTTACTTCATATAAATTTATAACATACCTACCTACAAAATAATCAAAACAGCCGGCGCTAGTATACTCAAATATCAAATACGCGGGTATACAGGGTTGATATAATCAATATTATTTTAACAAAAAATCATTATTTTTTTCTTGGATTTGTTTATTTTTTTTATAAAGCTTTAATTATTTTCAATAGAAGACCGCATTATAAAATAAAAAGTTGTAACAAAAAATATGTTTATTATATTCGAAAAACGAGCCATTTTAGAATTTTTTTTTTTTAATTTAGGAGCCTTCAATATAGATAAATCGAAATTGCTACAAAACTATTCGTCTTTTGAATTTTTTGTTAGAAGTGCAGTTTTAAATACAATGTAATCACAACAGACCTTTTTAGTAATGACGTCACATACGCCAAATAATAGACAACCCCATAGTACACATTGTCGTGAAGAATTTCTCAATATTTTTACTAGATCGATTTTAGACCTTATGTACTTTGGACATAAGTGCACCTTCTTCGCCATGACCTTAAATATCGCGATATTCTGGCAATACTAGAAATATTTAAGAAATTTCAGTCCCCAAGTGACAAACTAAAAGAATTATGGATTTATATATTTAAATTTATAGAACAATATTGAGTTTTATAGTAATTAATAAATTAAAATTATATCCATGTTACTGAGCACACGTGCCTTAAAAATAATGTCGGCTAAGCGAAGTAGCCTCACAACAGGATATCATTCAAGAAAAGTTTAGCTAAGGTTAAGAGTACGTCTATAATAAATAAACCACTTGAGGAAAAAAAGCCCTCGATAAACACGCTGACACAGCAAATCACCAAGAAAAACAATAAAAATACTTAGTAGAACTAGAAAATGCCAAGATAAAACAAAAGAAGAGAAAGTAAGCCAATGATGACAGCGATGACATATCAACAAGATCTCACCTGCATATGAGGCTATTCTTTTCGAGCATGCGCATTAGGAAATTTTTGTGTCAAATTTTTACTTTATTTATTTTTAGGAATATTCTTTTATATCGTTCTTTGTAAGTTTTGAGCATATTCGTGTATCTATTGTACGAAACATGTGTTGGTTGTTCTTAAATACAAGAAAAAAATATTTTTATGTATAGAAATAGAAAATTTATAAATTATAAAATCCTCAGTACATCAAAAATTACCCAGGACCTGTTTGCGGCACTAAATTTAGCTCGAGATAGGAGCACAGGACACTTATAACAGTTTGTTTCTATCACTGTTTAACCTGTACATTGCAGTCCCACCCAAAACGGGTCACCCTGTACATTATTGAATTACTGCTCGTAAATTATCCCCAGCGCAAGGTTATATTTTCCAGTCTAATTTGTTAAAATTATAAAATAAGATTACCTGATTTAAATCATGATGTATAGTTATTTAAGATGCGATAAGTCATTTTTTATTACACGAACGACTTGGTTATAAATAAGAGGGAAGCGAGAGGTTTTAAAACCGCGTGGTGCTATAAAGTGACGTTTTACGGTTATCTTTTTACAACGTTTCGCCTTCGATCTTGCAAGTTCCCGCAAGAAATGGTAAAATTTCATTTTTTATCGATTTTTTTTGTAGATGTCCACTTTGATGGTTAGTATTATTCGAGTGTCATAACTAGAGGTCGGAAATGTTAAGGCCGCTGCAGTGCGGTACAGGGTTGTCTCTAGACAGGGTTCCATTTTATGTAATTTTATTAAAAAAGAAGTGACAAACGTTGTCTTCCCCTAGCTGCACTCTTTAGGTGCATTATAAGAATATATATGTAAGTAATTGCATAATAGTATGAAACAAAAACGGGCAGTGTCAATTTTTCTACACTAAACGTTTCACATGGAACGTACCATAAAATATATAGTTATAGTACGTAATAAAATAAGTGCCAGCAATAGTTAATAAAGTGATTGTAGAAAATTATTAACAGTTGTCCTAAGTGTTCCGCGGTCAATCGTCAACATATACCGGGGTCACAGGACATATCTAAAATAGTCTGAAGTTTTTAATTTTGCTGTTGCCATTTTTACTAATGGCAGCGAAGCAACTACTTCACATTTTAGTAATTTCATTATCCGCATCATTATACCGTAAATAATATGTACATATCTGCCCCTGATCTGAAACTTCGCATCGATCAATCTATTCAATGCGTATGGCTCTGGAACGTTTAATTTTTTATCGATTGTGCCCACTTTGATTACTAGTATTATTCGAGTGTCATAATTGAAACGTCAGAGAACTATGTGAATGAAAGATGCAACGATTTTTTTGTTTCGGAAAAGCGGATAATATTACGGAACATGTTTTCCTTGCTTATTTTTCATAAAGAGCAAAGCCTATAAAACCGTCGAGTCTTTGGTCTGAATATTGCATAGTAAAAGCTTTAATGATAGCTGAAAGGGACGATCGATCTTTAAACCATTTTCAAAGTTAACGTTTATTTAAAGCGGCAATCCGTGGGATACCGTAGTGAGAAATCAAAACTGAAATACACGAATTTGTAAACGAAGCACCTAATGGTACACATTTAACGATTGAGGAAATTTTCATGCAGCTATTCCTTTGAGCAGAGTGACTAATAATAGATGTTTTCCAATTTTAAGTTGCACAAAGCTTGGTGTATGCAGAGGAGACGAATTTATTAAAATGAAAGTTGGTGATGCAGAAGATATGAGTAATACACTGATAGCGGAATTCCGTAGTCAAAAACCGATAAACCTCAAACTTTTATTATTGATGGCGAAACGAGAAACTTCTGCCTTAATGGAAAGTGTTCTGTTCAGCCGATAGGTGTTAATACCTTTGGGAAAATATCAAATGTCTAGATATATTGGGTTGCTCAATCCAGATTGTACGGGTCATAGTTTGAAATGATCGTCTGAAACAATGCTTGCGATTGTATCGACTGACGGTTGTAGAATCTTTATAGAAATCAATTCAAAACGAAATGGCGACATCGAATTAAATTTTCCAAAGAAACTATCTGCTGCAAATGCTACTACATCGAAGAGTTGTTAAAAATGAATTATGAATAAAATACTGTTCTTACTGATAGACCGTTTAACAGAAATCGTTCAAATGCGATGAATATTTCATTGGACAGGCTCTTATAAAAGCCTTTTTTTACTGGAAACTTTGTCAAAAAACTTTTGACGCTGTTGAAGATGAAAATCGGTTCCTTAAAATTATGGTAATCGTGCACGAAAAAGATAAGATATGTCTATGTAAAAGAAGATAAACAATACTGCAGTGATGCCACTTGTTCCAAAATTGTAGTAGTAAAAATATTTTAATGGTTTTATTGCATGTTATGCAATAAAATAATAAAATTAAATAAAAGATAAACCAAACGTGAAACTTTTCTTTTGTTAAAACCAGTTTATTGGGTTTCACAGGTAATCACGAAATAAGTGATAAAACTAAAGCACTTACTAATTAAACGTGAAACTAGGTTTTATTTAAGTCATTCTCAAGAATTATTAGATTAACCTCAGAAGTAGATATTGAGAACAGTTTTATTTAAACGGTCGTTAATGCTATAATCCTCGAACATAAAATATTTGTTACACACAGACACCAGATTTTTATCATGTACATTGCAATAACGTAGAAGCGCCTAATTCGGTAAGCTTATCAACTTGTTACATGAAAGATGATTGTTTCAATCATGATATTAGTATGAATTAAATACAGTACTATTTTTTAAAATAACTGTACTTACGAATTTAAAAAGTAAAGGCAACATACTTAAAATGACCTTGACTGATACAATTATACTGTAGCTGCGTTACACTTGTAATAGAGTTGTTATTCCACAGATGTTTCGATCGATAAAGGTTCACCGCATTACCCGAAACAAAAACCATTTTTAATATTCGTTTCCGCCCTTAGGCGAACCCGATTTTCAGCCACATCCCTTTCAGTTATATCCTCGACAGTTACCCCATGTTTAGTTTACCCCCAGGATGAGATACTGCCTTCACCTGCAACCACAAACGAGGATATTCCCAAAAATAGTCCTTGAAATAATTCCAGGGTTTTGTCCACCTTTGGGGTGTGGAACATATCTATATATTCCTTACTACGCTCCTTCAATTGATGTCTTCGAAGCAATTCCTCAGTTTCTTGTACCCTGGGGTATATAATCTTTGGAACCACATGGTTTGCGCTTCTCCTATATAGTTCTTCAAGGTTTATCATTTTAATGAATAGAGCAAACCTTATATCGTAGATGTGAGAGTAGGATTTGCCATTGCAAAAATCATGACAACCTGAACTACATGTTTGTTAGTTGCGTAGCCGTTTTGCAACGACTTTTGATCTCCTTTGTCATTTTTTTGACAATACCTTTTTATATAATTAAAATTGTTCATTACTATTTAAAAAATATGATACTTAGTTCTGGTTCTATATTTTTATTCCAGACGTTTGTTTATCTGTTATGTTTTTGGAAACGTCGGATGGGATTGTTTCTGAAGTAGACACATTTAACACAAATCTTACAAACACTAGTACTAAATAAATAAAAGAGTGATTGAAATTCCTCCAATTAAATTGATTAGATATTTATAGTGTAATAGTTTTTACTTCAAAAACTAATATTAGGAATGGATTTTGGCAAGTAAAGACAATTTAATTGATATATATGAATTGTGAATATTTTGCCAAATAATATTTTTCAAAATCCCTTTACATTACTTTTTAAATTAATACAAATTTCCCATACTTTCTAAACTTAAGTATATATTATTGGTAGATTTACCATTTGAAATAAATTCTATCGGCGTGAGTCAGATTCTTTTCTTTGTTTTTTTTTTGTAACTGTTTTACTTTATAGTTGTTTTACACTCATTATAGTCTTTACCGACTTTAAATGCATTTTGTTTAATATTTCAATAAATGTAAGTAACACATTATTTTTCATTTCAGAAACTGCAAACGATCGGCGAGGATTTTTGTGGTCTTGATGTTAACACGCCGTTAGGTGGAGAACAACCTGTTGCTGCAGTTCCTGTATTGCTGTTCAACATCCGACTGACGGCAGTGGTTGCCACCTCAACAGGAGACTTCACGGTTGTTTTCATTGGCACCTCCACGGGACATCTGAAAAAGGTTAATTTATTTACTTATATTATGTCAACGTTTCGAAAAAATGTAATTGTAAAGCTACAGAGGCCACTGAGAATATCCAAATTTTCTTTTTTTTCGATTATAACTTAGAAACGAAAAGACATCAGAAATCTGTTTTGATTTTAAAGACTCGCAAAAATTCCAACCAATATTCGTAAAAACCGGAACATCTGTCTTTAATAATCGAGATACCCTAGCATGATATCGATAACGTGATAGTGACGGAACTGATGATTAGCCGTCATTGCAGAAAAACGGAAAAAGCAAATAGAAAATCGCAAACGGGGATCTTTGCAGCATAATGATATAGATATTTCACTTTCAATTCCATCTTAAGGCTGTGAGGTAATCGAAATTATTTTTCCCATTTCACACATGTCTGAAATTGTTTTGATTTGTTTTCCCGTTCAAAAGACAAAATTATATTTATAGAGAATAACGCTGGTCCTGTTACTGATTTTGTCACAATATACTTTCAATGCTTATTTTCATCAATGTCTATAAAGCCATACTGTTAATTTCTATTTTTTCCGAGTTTCCTCAAAAATCAAAATCATATGTACTTTTTTTATTGAATATTATCTAATGAAAACTAAATAATTTGAAGAAAAGTAATAAAAACAAGTCTAGTTAATCCTCTTCCACGGCAAAGCTGACAAAAACAGTAGAGACTGGATCTGCTAGTGGTTAATTCCTCTATTCACATCATCTTATGTCTTTCGAAAGGAAGAAATATCCAGAATATTTATGAAATTGGAAAAAATTAGATGACGTCACAGTCACAGATCGAATTTTAAGTCAAATACTCTTATCATCATGCTATAAAGATCCTTGTTGGTGGTTTCCTATATGGTATTTCCATTTCTCAACAAAGGCTACCAACCATCAGTCACATTTTGAGAACCGCTGTTCACATGAAAAGTAAAATCTAGAGTGATGTACCCCGTATAATATATTTTTTGTTGATAATGTAATGTTTAGATCATAATAATAGTTATGAAGCTTCCGTATCGCATAGAGATAAAAATAATACTAGAGAAACTTGTATCGCATGTTTAAGGTCGTAGAGAATAGAGCTAATTAAAAATGTGTTTAAAACTGTTTTGGAACTGCTGAAATGCATGTATTTTATCGCGGCGAATAGTTACAAAACTATCTGTAAGACTTTTTACGAGTTTATGAAGCCGGACTGTATTCGAAAGTCAGTTTGTAATACATTGTTGTAGTGATTGCTGTGCTGTTTTTCGAGAGTACATTTAATAGCCGTATTACCAAGTTTTCTTTTGAAAAAGGCGCATTTATTTAGCAATCGCGAATATATGATAACATCCTAACGACGTGCCCCCTCACTGCGAACATTTGTTGCTGTAGCGCAAAGATTTGGACACCGAGTTATTAGAAGACGTGCCATTAAATGTTCGGCAAAATTTGTAGTTACTACATGACGGAGCCCCCGCTCACTTTTTTCGGACATTACTTTTCCAGATTGCTGGAGAGGGCGTGGCATTGTTGCAACGCGTGCAAGCGAATTGGATACGTCGCGCTGAAGCTTGTTTGCAAGCAAATAGTGGGTACATTGAACATCTATGAGAATCAGCAGTTCTCAAAAGGTTCCTTGCAATGTTGTGATAGGTCAGATTTTAAAATTACATTTTACTCAACACAAATCCGTGTATTTACCTCATTTTGACATAACGGACATGTGGCAAAAATACTTTATATAAGTTCATTAACACCATGTGTAATTGCCATTTAAAAAAACCATGTGTTTGCATTATAGGTTTATAGTTCAACACTGTAGAAAATAAAAAATACATAGTTGTTGTAGTTGAGTGTTATCCTTGACGTCGTATTAAAATAACATTTTTAGCTTTTTAGGATGAAAATGAAAATATCTTGCATTTTGTGGATATTTCGTTTTATTTCGAAATCTTCCTCACTCCCAAAAAATACAACATATATATTTTTTTAAAGTGTAATTTAATGCTTACTGTATTTATAAATAAAATTTTGAAAGGACAAAAAAAATCAATATAAATCTCTAATACCACATTATTGTACATCATACCCGTTATAATAATATATAATGACGTACAATTATACAGGGTGTAATTTTGAGGGGAGCTACCTTTGACTTTTAGAAACATCTATGTTTGTTTTCTCAGATGCCGTCTTGGAAACTGGGTTTTTTCGAAGCTTTTTTATTTTTTCGTAATTTTTATACCCCGTCACTGACTGGGCAGGCTAGCCGCTGCGCATGTTATGCCGTCCGCCTCAACACATCTCATCATGGAATGTCTTACCTTATTAAGGTCCATGTTGCCTGCCGTATGTGGTCCGTCGCGTTCTGCTCTCTTTGACAATAATAAACGCAACTAATTATATTTCGATTCGAGTAAAAACTAATACTTCACACAGAAAGTGGCGAAAATTACAAAAGACTTCTCGTAAACCGAAAAATAAAATAAATGTAACAAATTGAAGCGGTGTCGTATTCGTAATATCTGTTTCACGGAAATAAAGTCGGTCGTTTGTTTTTCCTTCTACTACCCGTACCATGTTAGGTGTAAAGTCAATTTATATATTCATTCTTGTAAATAATGATCAAACATACGCCTGTGAAACTATTGGTCCAAACGAATAGAACGGCAATCTCCAAAGATGCGCCTCCTTTACAAAACCGCATTTAACAATACAGGGTATCCCAAAAGTATGGACACGTTTTATACAAAAGTTTCAGGATTTTTCCCGGGCTATTCAAAGATGACCATGACCTTGACCTTGAAGTTCATTTCAAGGTCAAGGTCATTTTTTCAAATGGGAACCCCTACTTTTTATCACGTCATTGGAAAGAGGGGAAAATTTTACGTACGAAAATTACTGACCAAGACCTTGAGACCATGGTCAAGGTCATTTTAAGGTCGAATAAGATTTTTGATAGATACCGCCTGGAAACCGCAGAATAACTCGGAAGTAAAGGGATATACGGAAAAACGTTTCATACAAAAGTTTCAGGATTTTTTCCGGGCTATTCAATGATGACCTTGGCCTTGACCTTGAGGGTATCCCGTTTAATATCTTTAATTTCGTGCGTGTCATTCGCGATTTAATTTTCTTGCTGATTATGTTTTGGATGGTGAAGGGATTGAATAAGAAAAAGGAGTAAAAACTCACTGTATTTTGTTTTGAGTTTTATATCTTTTTAATTATATTATAATTAATAATTTTGAGATCGACCGATACCGATACATCGGCTTACAAACAGGATATGTTGCAATGTTACTAGAACTACATATAACAAAAAATATATGTTGTGATTATGTATTTATCACTGTGATACTAAAATGAATGCCTTTTTTCCCATTTAACTTAACATTTACACCAACATGCAATTTAAATTTATGCAAAATTATGTTAACTATTCTGCTAGCAAACCTACTGGTACGAACAATTATTCTGTTGGACAGGTACTTTCCATGGCAACAGTGATATCTGTATTGAAACGTTTTAAATGATCAATCGGTAGCAAATTATAATTCTCATTGATATTATATCTTTAAATCATTGTTGGAATTATTGGAAGTTTGTATTTGGTTTAGAATTTTAAATATGGTTATTAGTAATTTCGTGGCTCGGCGTCAATCCCCAATTATGTTGTAATTTGGCAGTGTTATTTGTAATATTATGAGGCTAATTTAACCCTAACTTGATTACCTTTGTTAAGTCCAGTGGCGTTCCGAGCGGTACCTTAACGAATATTTTTAATGTTTCTTGTGTGGTCCAGGGATATGCAATTTAGTGGATTTTATTTTTTTTCTCTAAAAATTAATCAAGATTCGAAAAACATTCAAGAGACAAAAAGGTTGCTTTTAGTTGCTTAATCCAAAAAATATAAAAATTACAAAAAAGTGGTGTACATTTTTTTTGTCAAAAACATTCGTTAAGGTACCGCTCGGGACGCCACTGGACTTAACAAATCTAATCAAGTTAGGGTTAAATTAACCCCTTACCACTACAAATAACACAGCCAAATTACAATAAAGTTGGGTAAAGGGTATTAAGATATTTACGAAATAACAATTTTTTGCAAAAGTTTAACCCCCTGTATCTTGAAAACGAAGCATCTGCGGACCAATGTTTATATCAACTTGTTGTCTTAAAATAGTCTGATGAATTTATTGTACATATTTAATTAACACCCTGTATTTTTCAAAATATTTTGGAAAGAATGGGCTAAAATTTTCTTCATTCGACCGTTTTTTATCTTTTATACATTTGGAACCGATGCACGCATCACCAGAATGTTCGCACAGTATACGCGATACGAGAGAGAAAAAATGTAAAAGAGAGAATGTTTTGATCTACCTTACAAATACGCTACGCGTAAACGATGGGCAGTTTCGCTGTTGATATCTATTAAAGCAACGTCCAGGGGAAGTTGTATAAATTGAATTGTGTTCATTCAGCTCCAGTAATGTGTGAACGTGTATTACGCCGGCTACACGCTTACATTGTTCGAGATGAATAAAAAAGGTAACGCATGTGTGGATGAAAAGTTATTATTCGTCGGCAAGCATTCGATATATTCGGACAAATACCGCGTTCCGTGTTGAGTCGGTAATAAATCAGCACACATCGCGTCAAATGATCCAAATAATTTATGTAGCTCTGTACGTAAGCGATCATCCTTTAGGCGATGTATATATATATTCGTAGAATTCACAAATATTCGCAATAGACTTTTTTAGTGCGACGTCACATATTTAGGCAACCCGCAACAAATTGTCATAGTTGAAATTGTACAGACCAAATCTGACCCTTACATAGATACTATAAAAATGAACAACTTCAAATTAATTTATTTTTACAAGGATTTGGAAGTATTTAAGAACAACCAACACGTGTTTCGTAAAATAGAGAATACACTAATGTGCTTAAAACGATATAAAAGAATATTCCTAAATTTAAATAAAGTAAAAATTTAACATTAGCCGTGTTATTCCTAATGCGCATGCTCGGAAAGAATAGCCTCATACGCAGGTGAGATCTTGTTGATATGTCATCGCTGTCATCATTAGCGTATTTTCTCTTCTTTTGTTTAATCTTGACATTTTCTAGTTCTACTAAGTATTTTTTATTGTTTTTCTTGGTGTTGTGCTGTATCAGCGTGTTTATCAACTGTGTTTTTCTTCAAGTGGGTTATTATAGACGTACTCTTGACAATAACCAAACTTTTCTGGAATGATATCCTGTTGCGAGCCTACTTCTCTTACATGAAATTACCTTTAATGCGCATGCTCGGTAACATTGATATCATTTTAATTTATTAGTTACTATAAAAGTCAATGTTGTTCTATGAATTTAAATATGTATATAAATTCTACAATTCTTTTAGTTTGTCACTTGGGGATCGAAACTTAAATATTTCTAATATTGCCAGAATATCGCGATATTTAAAGTCATGACAAAGAAGACATAAGGTCGAAAATCGATCAAGAAATCGATACTGAGAAATTCTCCATGACAGTGCGCACTATAGGGTTGCCTATTATTTGGCGTATGTGACGTCATACTAAGAAGGTCTATTGAAGACTGAAATAATAATATCAGAAGTTAAAAAGTCTCTAGTTCTGTTTAGGTCACTCTCTGACAGTAGACATTAAGTAGCATTGATATTTAAGATATAATACACTTTACAGTTTATTAAATAATACATACATACATACATACATACATACATACATACATACATACAGGATGTTAGGAAAATAAATCATTGCCACATGTATCCAATCGAAATGAATTATTGGAAACTTATCAAAATTTTAATTACCAAAACGTAAAATTATAACGTTGTTTATTAAATGTTTAAGCAAAAAAGCGAAAGCAACTAAAATGAAAAGTAAATAATAATAATTTCAGACGACGAAACAGATTTTCGATGCGTTAACAACTTTATAAAACGCCCTATACAAAGCGATGTGTTTTGTATTTTTCTTGTCTGCCTTTTCATTGTGAAATTTTGTTTAGGCAAAACTGTGTTCATGTAAAAATAACCCTTTACTGATACTTTTAAATACTACACAAACTTTCACAGGTGGTTAAAATACCCAAAAAAAAAAACAAAGAAGAAAAAAAAACGAAAATAATGCAACAAATAAATAACTTCATAGGTATTATCTTTTGTGTTGTGTTCTTTCAGTTTCGATAAAGCAAAGCATTTTTAATTTTGGGAAACAAATGTTAGTGCTTTTGTTTACATTCAAATGTAAAATTCCGAAAATGTACTCTAGGTGAATATCACGATATGCCAATTATTTATGGAGACGGTCACCAAAATTCGGAAGGTACCAAACGCATTTATGGACAACGTTATCCAGAAAGACCGTTTCCAGCCCAATAAACTTTTGTACAGGTCTCCCAGAGACTTGGATGGAAATGTGCTTCCTAGATTTCAATTCAACAAATATACGATGTTGAAGCAGATTCTACCAGAAGTGCCCTCGCAGTGCTTTGCGGCATGTTTCATTGGATAGTGTGTAGAACCATTAAAGAACAGTTGGCAGTGAAGCACTTCTACTTAATGACTAATGAAGAAATTTTGGAACTTTCATAATTTTGCAACAAACATTAACCGCCCGTTTGTGGAGCATCCAGTAACAATTTTGGAAACATACCTATAAGAAGAAAAGGCCTTAAGATCTCCTGATTTCAATCCTTCTACTTGTGAAGCCACATAAAGACCATGGTTTACGCTGCCGAAATCCGGGATGAAAGTAATCCTGGAGCATGTATTTTTGCCGAAGCCAACCAGATATCAGTCACACAACTGTGTTAACAATGTCAAGAAAAATTGGAAGTGTTTCAACGCGTTTTTCTCGAATAGTTTCAATTGGATACAAGTAGTCAAGTTTTTGGGTCAAAATTACGCAAATATTCGATTGCTAAGTTTACGAAGGTTATTTGCCGAACACCCTGTACACCATATAATCTAGAGTTCGAAATTAGAGTGTGAAGTCAGTAGCGCCATCATAATTTAACTGAATTAAACATTTTGCATTTTCTTGCAAATAAATTGTGGACCTTAGTATGCATCTGTATTATTAAATTGGCTTTTTTTAATTTTACATTTATTTGCCTTTAAAGTAAACGTATGTTTATCAGTAAAATAAAAAGTGACAAGCTTCATACACGAATCGCACTCTTCTTTCAAAAGATATCTTAAATTTATTTAACTATCTGATAAATAACATTATTTTAAATTTTTTTAAAAATCCATAATTGTCTGGTTTTTTAATAAAGTGATAGATACATTTTTTCTTCGACACCATGTTATGAGCTTTGTTCCTAGAGCAGTCCAAAACAATTTCCAACAGTCAGACTCGTGAGAATTCCGATACAATGCTTACATAAGGTCGTAATTTATTGTTTCGAATCAAATGCGATTGTGCCCGACTGTTTCTAATAAACGCACTTATCCAATTTACAAAACAGTCAGTAGCGCCGAAATTCTAAGGTTCACAATTTTTTCTGCCACTGGTTATTAACCCAAGTTTCCTCTATCAAACATCTTCATATAGTTAAATAAATATGATATATTTTTTTTATTTCGGGGAGTTCTATCGCCAAGTAAAGTTTGGCGTGTGCAATTCGGGACACCCTGTAGAACAAATGCTATAGCGCGTGCGACCTTACAAAAGTGTGCCTATAACAGCCACCTGCAGGTTGTTTACAACATTTAACTCTTCATTTTATCTGAGAAGGAAACCGTCACTTAAAATTAGCTCCATTGTATGGAGACCTACAGCATGAAATTTACTTGAACTGTTTATTATGTACTTTAGATTAGGAAATTATTTTTGAATTTAGCCAGCGGCACGTCAAATTTTTATAAAGCAATTTTGCGTAGTATCTGATTGTGGTTTTTTCCGTTCTAGATTGTTGTGGAATCGTCTACCTCCGCTTTGGAATATGGAGATTTAACTGTCGAAGAGGACTCGCCCGTAAATCCAGATTTGCACTTCGATTCTCACTCGATGCATTTATACATAATGACGGAAAAGAAGGTTAGTGATTGAAATAATCTTAAATTAGTTGTTTATCTGTCGATTTTAAATTTAAAAAAAATATATACAACGTATAAATAACTTAAAGGTGTTGAAGTCAATTTTTTTTCAAAAATTACACATGTATGTATTTCGAATGACTTAAAACGCATATTTTTTACATCGGGGGTATTGTCGAGCTTCTAACCCTGTCAAAGGGGATCGCCAAAGATATTTGAAAATAAAAAATTGACTTCGTCGGCTTATATCTTCAAAACTAAGCAACATTGCATTAGTCAGAGTTCGTAGTGGCCTGGAAAACCGGGAAAAGTCAGGGAATTCATTATTCTTCATAAAAAACAGGGAATAGTCGGGGAATTTTAAATATATCCATGAAAGTGGGAAAATTTTGTGAAAACCGGCTCTGGGTTCTTGAAAGAGAAAACTATTTGTGGTTTTGAAACTTTTATAAGAGGTTCTTTGGGTATAAAAAAGATTATGGTGTCTAGTCTAGAAAAAGTGTAATGCATAAACAGTCAGAGCAAAAGTGGAAAAGTCAGTGAATTCTATATTACTGTAGAACTATGAACCATGATTAAGGGTTAAAATGACGTAATTTCGTCTATAGAATGCACTTTTAAGTTTCGTCCTCACCTTTATGTTACACGTTGTATATTTATCAAAAAATTATTTCGTATATTCATTTAAAATTAAACGAAAAGTTGTGATAGGTATTTACAGTAAGGTTTTGCCACATACAGGGTAGTTATTTTAATTATTTGATTAGTGATTCTGATGAAATAACTAATGATGAACTTCAACCATAAAAAATACTATAAATTGCGACAATGAACTCAAATTATCTCCAGATTTCTTCGTATTAACTCGGAATATCTTAATAACTTCTAATAATTCCTTGCGCCTCCATTTGTGAAAGAATCTAGAGAGCGCCGCACAGTGGGCGAAAAAATTCCGTGGGAGGTAGTAAGAGTTGTCCAAATTGGGATGTATATTTTTTAAAAGCTTGTAATTATGACTGTCCGCTTTCTTATGTCACTGCGACACAGACCTTTTTAGTAGTGACGTCACATACGCCAAATAATAGGCAACCCCATAGTGTCATGAAGAATTACTATTAGATCGACTTTCGACCTTATGTACTTTAGACATATGTGCCAAAAAATGGCTTCTTTGTCAAGTCATGACCTTAAATAACGCTATATTCGCAATATTTAAGAAGTTTCAAACTCCAAGTGACAAATTAATAGAATTATAGAATTTATATATTTAAATTTAGAGAACAATATTGACTTTTATGGTAATTAATAAATTAAAATTATATCGATGTTACTGAGCATGCGCATTAAAGATAATTTCATGTAAGCGAAGTAGCCTCGCAACAGGATATCATTCAAGGAAAGTTTGGTTATGGTTAATAGTACGTCTATAATAAATCACTTGAAGAATAAAAACACTCAATAAACACACAGTACGACATCAAGAAAAACAATAACAATACATAGTAGAATTAGAAAATGCCAATATTAAACAAAATAAGAGAAAATACACTGATGATGACAGCGGTGACATATCAACAAGATCTCACCTGCGTATGGAGGCTATGCTATTCGGTCTGTACAATTTCAACTATGCCAATTTGTTGCGGGTTGCCTAAATATGTGACGTCACATTAAAAATAGTCTATTGCGATATTTTAAGATCTCGACTTGCGACGTCTTAAATACTCATATAAACTACAATCAGAAATGTTTCCCATACTTAATACTACAAAATTTGAACAATATTTAGCGAATATAAAAAAGTAGGTGTAAATCTTAAAACCAGTTAATTGCAAATCCTTTAACCACAAATTGTTGAAACAATAAGCCTAAAAACCTGACCTAATAAACCTAAATTCATTAAACTAAAACCAATAAAATCTAACCCCACAAAACCTAAATCAACAGGTGTATAATTTCAAGAATTTGTAGTTGAATTAATTGTAAACCAACTGGTTTTAAAATTTATACCTTACATTTTTTATATTCGCGGAATATTGTTCATATTTTGTGGTATCATTTATGGAAAACATTTCTGATTGTAGTTTATGAAAGTATTTAAGATATCGCAAGTTGAGATCTTAAAATGTCGCAATTGTCTCGGTGACATAAGAAAGCGGACATAATTTCGAGTATTTAAAAAAATATATCCCAATTTGGACAACTTTTACTACCTCGCACGGAATTTTGAGGACTTTTGCCCACAGTGCTCAAATTCCATATTCATTACGTCGTATAGGATATCACCACAGAAAAGTGAAAAACCTAAGCAACAGATTTATTATCAAGAGTTCGTAGGTGACTTATAAGGTTGATATAATCTTACATCTGTTTTAATTCGCTTCCACATTCGTGAAATAATACAGATATTTGCAGTACGTTTTTCAATTTTTTAAACTTGCGTGATCTTTGCTAACACTCGAGCCTAGATACAGCCAAAGTCACGTTGCTTCGATGCTCTCCGTTTGCGTGTTAAAAATTATTGATTAAACCAATGATTATAAAAACGATTCAGGGGAAAACCGATGTTTTTTTTATGTATCTGTTGCATTTTCGATAAAATAGTACATTTTTTCTGAAAAAAGAAAACTGGAAAGACAAAATAAGTTAGTTGTGTTCGATATCAATTAATCGCACCTTTTTGGGGAAAACTGGTTTCACTTATTACATTTTGAATATGTACTTAGTTTTCAAAAGAACCATGAGATTCCTAAATTTAAAAATTGTTTAAATGGCATATCTAAAATATCACTGCCATTTATTCGTTTTTCAAACTTAAATTTTTGACCTTTTTATTATCAGTTGACCTTAACCTTGGAAATAAGATATTGCAGAAATTAATGTGATATTATTGCCGATTTAATAAATTAAAAACATTTTAGTCATATATACAAAATATTCCCGGATCATGTCACAATTAATTTTCCACACATCTTTCGATTCTGCAAGTTTTTAATTCATCAATATGCAGAATGTAACTTATCGAGTATAATTTATCATGCACGTGTGTTGATAATTCGACTTTGAATTGCACTGTGATTCAAAAACTATTTGATGTATGTATTTTATTAATAATTATAATGCGCAAAAAATAGTATATTTTACTGTATTATATGTTCGAGATATGTCCGTTTATTCGTTTATTTACATTATTAACTTATTTTTACTATACGATATTAACTCTTATTATTAAGCTCTGAATGAACTAAAGATGCATCAGCGTCTCCTTTTATTAAATCGGTAAAAGCTTGCTCAACTAAAAATAGATCGTTTCCCACGCGCGCGGCAAAAAAACATCAACCATGTGTATAGATCGTAGCCAGATTGTAAAATCTTCCGTTTTATAAAACGCCTAGGCGTTTTATAAAAAGCGGTTAGCTCAAATCTTCGTCGACTGCGTTATTTTACTAGTTACCTGGCCAGTCGTTTTGTAAAACGGCGGAAGTTTTACAAAATGAGAAACGACATGCGGCCAAATCGTCAAATGTTTAAAGTCGATAGGTTAAATTTTTTACAATTATTAACAACTTCAACGGGATACTTTTTATGTTATAATTATCCATATACCATCCTAATGTAGATAAAAACATGGATGTCATTTCTAAATAAACATACAATATACAGTGTATCTCACGATTATGTCATATTCTCTTGAGGCGGAAAAACTGTTTTAATTGTAAATTTATTTTTTCCTTTATAAAAATGTTTGCTTGTCTCAAACTCTTAAAAGTGTTACTGTCTATTTTATATGTAGGGTCAAAATTACAACAATCTCGAAGGGTCACTAACATTAAGAGATATTGTTAGGAAATCCAAAAAGGCTGTAAAAGATTCAATTGTTTTACCTCCTTTCATAAATTGGCTTGTACACCCCTATGACTCCCGTAATTAAGCCGAAAACTGATTAACAAATGTTATTTTATTAAAATCCAATGAATTCAGATCGGGATTTCTGTGAGAACTCGATGGAAACACATTCGACGCAATCGCCTGCCAGGAACAGGAGTCCTATACTATAACCACAAACAATTTTATGTTATTCTGATTACAATAGTGAGTTCCAAACTTCGTTTTTATGGGGATCAAGGAGTCCAATGAACAAACATCTTTTAAAACCGCTTTCTCGCCGAGATCTCTTCTAGGAAAGAAGAATTTTCAATTACGGATTGGCCAGAGCCAGAAATTACACAATTAGTTATTGAAGACTACTCGGAAATGTGTGATATCAAATCACCTTCGATAAGAAAATAAAAGGACACACAAAATGGATTAAAACGGAGAATGGCGAGACAGACAACGAGGAAACCGCAGAAATAATATTCTCGATTCGAACAAAGTAGAGAAGGAAAAGTTATCTGACAAGATGGTATGATGCAGAAAGGAAAGACTTGAAAATAAGAACAAGCGTGGATGTGAATAACATGTGTATGTGAATAACATGTGTATGTGATTTGAATTATGTATTTTTTTTTTTTTTTTCAATGTAAGATAAAAAGTAGTTTTTATTGTCTGCCTGATTGTTTTTACATCACCGAAACAATGTTGGCGAATGAAGCTATTTGAATTTCTCCACCGAACTACTAAAAATTCTTCATATTTCTTCACAAAATTCAACTGGGGAACCGCAATACAAAATTACAGTACCACGTCTGGTTACAAAGCCATCACCCATTCCAAGCGACTATAATCGAAAGATGGGCTAAATTGAAAAAAACTATGGCGGACTTAGATACTGGATATTTGCGGACCCATCAAGGAATGGGATCGAACGTCGACTCTGGCACCTTGCAATTCCGCAATCAGGGACGGATACGACTCAAGATTTCTAATTGGATTTGGATTTTCTAATTGGATTATGTACAAGTTTTTCCTCTTCGGAATACAATTGTGCGACACACTGTATATTGTATGTTTGTTTAGAAATACCATACATATTTTATCTGTTCTTATCTATATTAGGAT